GTTGGTCCCCTGAGACCAAGACTACCCGAATACAGAGGAGATGCCCACCTTTCCAGGCTACAAGACAGAGACACAATGTTACCTACACGGGAACTCCCAGTAGAATGTCAGCTGATTTCTCAACAGCAACACTTCAGGCCAGAAGGGAGTGGCATGGAGTATACAAAGTAATGAAAACCAGGGGATTGAACCCAAAACTACTCTATCCACCAAGGCTATCATTAAAAAAAATCTAAGGTGAAACAAAGATCTTCGCAGGCAATAAAAGGCTAAAAGAATTTACCACCACCAAACCAGCCCTGCAAGAAATGCTACAGGGACTGATGTAAGAAGAAGAAATAGAGAGGAAGAGAAGAACACAGGTATAAAGATATAAAGAGTAAGAAAGGCAACAAATAAGTATCTATCAATAACAACCTCAAATGTAAATGGCTTAAATGTTCCAATCAAAAGGAAAGGCATAGAATAGATGAATGGATAAGGAAACATGACCCATAAATATGTAGTCCACAAGAAACTCACCTCAGAACCAAAGACTCATACAGAATGAAAATGAAGGGATGGAAAAAAATTTTCCAGGAAAATATTAATGAAAAAAACAAACAACAAATCACTGGGGTATCAATACTCATATCTGACAAAATAGGTTTCAAAGTAAAGGCCACAAGAGACAACGAAGGCCACTTCAAAATACTAAAGGGACCAATACAACAAGAGGATATAGTAACTCTGGTAAACATATATCAAAATATATTTTAAATCTCCTGGAGGATTTTAAAGGAGAGATGGACAGCAATAAAGTCATAGTAGGAGACTTCAACACCCCACTGACATCATTGGATAAAGATCTAAATCAACAGAGAAACAGTAATCCTAAATGACATACTAGATCAGATGGAATTAATTGACATTTACAGAACATATCACCCTAAGGCAATAGGGTGTACACATTCTTCTCAAGTGTACATGGGACATTTTCAAAGACAGCCCAGCCAGTATGGCTCAGTGATTAAGCATGACCTATGAACCAGAAGGTCATCGTTCTATACCCGGTCAGGGCATATGCCCAAGTTGCGGGCTTGATCCCCAGTGTGGGGTGTGCAGGAGGCAGCCGATCAATGATTCTCTCTCATCATTGATATTTCTGTCTCTCTCCCTCTCCCTTCCCCTCTGAAATCAATAAAAATATATATTTTTTAAAAAGACCACATGTTAGACACAAACTAAGTCTCTACAAGTTCAAGAATATTGAAATCATATTAAGCATCTTCTCAGATCACAGTGGCACAAAACTAGAAATCAACTACAATAAAAAACACCCAAAACATTCAAACACATGGAGGCTAAATAGCATGTTATTAAATAATGAGTGGGTTACCAAAGAGATCAAGAAAGAAATGAAAAAAATTTTTGGAAACAAATGAAAATCAACGCACAATAACCCTAAATCTATGGGACACAATGAAAGCAGTCCTGAGAGAGTAGTTCATAGCATTACAGGCCTACCTCAAAAAATAAAAAAAACTTCTAATAAATTATCTAACCCTGCAACTTAAAGAATTAGAAATAAAACAAGAAAAGCCCAGAGTAAGGAAAAGGACGGAAATAAAGATCAGAGTGGAAATAAATGACATAGAGACTAAAAAAAACAAAAAACAAAAACATACAAAAGGTCAATAAAACCAAGAACTAATTCTTTGAAAAGATAAACAAGATGGATGAACATATAGCCAGACTCATCAAGACACAAAGAAAGAGGACCCAAATACACAAAATCAGAAAAGAAAGAGGGGAAGGAATAGCTGACCCCACAGAAATACAAAGGATTGTAAAAAACAACAACAAAAAACTATGAACAACTATATTCCAACAAGCTGGACAACCTGGGCAAAATGAACAAATTCCTAAAAAAATACAACCTTCCAAAACTCAGTCAGGAAGAATCAGAAAACCTGAATAGGCCAATAACTACAAATGAAATTGAAGCGTTAAAAAAACGCTCTGAGGATAAAAGCCCTGATCCAGACGGCTTCACAAGGGAGTTTCACCAAACATTCAAAGAACTAACACCTATCCTCCTCAAACTATTCCAAAAAATCCAAGAGGAAGGAACACTTCCAAGCTCTTTTGTCAAGGCTAACATTAGCCTAATTCCAAAACCAGATAAAGACATTACAAAGAAAGAGAATTACATGGCAATATCCCTGATGAACACAGATGCTAAAATCATCAACAAAATATTAGCAAATCGGACCCAGCAATACATTAAAAAGATCATACACCATGACCAAGTGGGATTTATTCTAGGGATGCAAGGCTAGTACAATCTTCAAAAATCAATGAATGTGATATATCACACTAACAAATCGGAAGACTAACATCACATGATCATATCAATTGATGCAGAAAAAGCATTTGACAAAATCCAACAGTCTTTTTTGAAAAAACTCTAAGTGGGAACAGAGAGATCATACATCAACATAATAAAAGCTTTATATGACAAACCTACAGCCATCATGATACTCAATGAGAAAAAACTAAAACCATTTTCCCTAAGAACAAGAACAAGACAAGGATGTCTGCTTTCACCATTCTTATTCAAGATAGTACTGGAAAACCTAGCCATGGTGATCAGACAAGAAGAAAAAATAAAAGGCATACAAATTGAAAAGGAGAGCATAAAACTGTCATTATTCACAGATGACATAACAGACCACCAATAAACTACTAGATTTAATAAATGAATTGGCAATATAGCAGGATACAAAATCAATACCCAGAAATCAATGGCATTTTTATATGCCAATAATAAACTCTCAGCAAAATAAACTAAAAAAAATCCCATTTATCATTGCAACAAAAAATTAAGATACTTAGGAATAAATTTAATCAAGGAGGTAAAAGACCTGTACTCAGAAAACTACAGGACATTGAAAAAAAGAGATAGAAGAAGACATAAACAAGTGGAAGAATATACCATGTTCATGGATTGGTAGAATTAATATCATTAAAATATCCATTCTACCCAAAGCAATCTATAGATTCAATGCAATCCCTATTAAAATACCAATGGCATATTTCACAGATCTAGAACAAACTCTCCAAAAATTTATACGGAACCAAAAAAACAAACAAACAACAAACAAACAAACAAAAACAACTGCAAATAGCTGCAGCAATCCTGAGAAAGAAGAACAAAGTTGGAGAGATCACATTACCAGATATTAAGCTGTATTACAAAGCCACTGTCCTCAAAACAACCTGGTACTGGCACAAGAACAGGAATACAGATCAATTGAACAGAACAGAGAACCCAAAAATTGAGTTATTATTCTCAATTACTATTTGACACTGGAGGGAAGAGCATACAATGGAGTCAAGACAGTCTCTTAAATAAATGTGCTGAGAAAATTGGACAGGTACATGCAAAAAAAAAGAAAAAAGAAAAGAATCTAGACCACCTACTTACACCATACACAAGAATAAATTAAAAAATGGATGAAAGACCTAAATGTAAGTCGTGAAACCATAAAAATCCTAGAAAAAAATATAGGCAGAAAAATCTCAGCCGTCTCTTCTCATAGCAATATATTTGCAGATACTCCCATGACAAAGGAAACTAAGGAGAAAATAGACAAATGGGCTACATCAAAATGAAAAGCTTCTGCACATCAAAAGTAACCATCAACAAAGTGAAAAGAGAGCCCACTGCATGGGAGAACATCTTTGCCAATGATACATCTGATAAGGTGTTAACTTCCTAAATATATAAGGAACTCATATAACTTAACAAAAGGAAGACAAACAATCCCATAAAAAATGGGCAAGGGACCTAAATAGACACTTCTCCCGAAGTGTATATACAAAATGCCAAAATACTAACAGGGGTGGGCAACCTTTTTGTGAGTGCGTGCCAAAACCAGCAAAATCTCTGACTCAAAATTATTCTGCGTGCCAACCCTAATTTTTTGAGAACATGTTATGCCTACTTGATATCTCTTCAGGTGTACGTATGTGAAGAACCTTGAAGAAATAATAAAATTCATTCGAGCGACAAAAACAGTATATGATGATGAAAAATACATTTATTTTTTAATGTATACATGTACACTGATAGTCCGACAGAAAACTTTATGACTCTGTTCGATATTATCAGTGGAACTTTTGCTGCTGCATCACTGATGACAGAGATTTTACATCAGGTTTATATTTCATGACCTTCAGAGATATGCACGAGCTACTACTTTCATCCACCAGGCTACTCCTATTATGAGACTTAACAAAATTCATCACTAAAAAAAAAAAAAAAAAAATTCATCACTGAAAACAAAGGTTCACAATTGTAAATGGAAGATTAAAAGAGAGGGTTTCCCGTCCCAGCAAAAGTTACTGGCGTGCCATATTTGGCACGCGTGCCAGGGGCTGCCCACCCCTGACCTAGGCTATACAAGGACACAGCAACTGAGTTATGTCTACATAAGAACAAACCATAAACATTTTGTAAATGAAATATAGATTTAATTTTTCAAATAGTTTGTCTTTTGTTTACTTTAGAAAGTGCTTCCCTGGGGGAGCAAGTCTTATTTTTGTTTCTAATGTGGAAAGACACATTTTTTTCTTAATATTTTTATTATTTCAGAGAGGAAGGGAGAGGGGGGGAGAGAGAAACATCAACGATGAGAGGGAATCATTGATGGGCTGCGTCCTGCACGCCCCCGACTGGGGATGGAGCCCACAACCCGGCATTTGCCTTTGGCTGGAATCGAACCCGGGACCCTTCAGTCCGCAGGCCCACGCTCTCTCCACTGAGCCAAACCCGCTAGGAGCAGGGAGCACGCCTCGATCCCAGGCTGCCAGGCCCATGCGAGGGCTGCACCAGAGGCTCCAGGCCGAGGCCGCCCGCTCCCGGCAGCGCGGGTCTCCCGCTGGCATAGTTTCCAGGTGCTGCCCGGAGGGTCTGTAAAGCCACAGAGACCCCCACGCCCCTGCAAGTGCCTTACCTGCCCTGGGCGCAAAGCTCCAGCTTTTCCAGCAGCTCCCAGGCTCCGTCCGCCGCTGCCCCCGCGAACTGGCCGGAGCCGACTGGGATTGGCCGCCTGCGTGGAGGAGGTGGGGCCCGGCCCGGGGAAGGGAAAGCAGGGAACCGGGAGAGGAGGGGACCCGCCCACGCCCAGCTCTGTGCAGGGACTTGCAGGGCTGAGGGCTGCGCGCTGCTCTGTGAGCACTGCTCCTAGCTGTGCCGCTGCCCTGTTCCCTGCGCCCTGCTGGGCAGCAGCGAGTGGCAGTGGCTGTTAAACAGCAAAGTTTTAACTCCCAAGCCTGAAAGGTTTTGTTTTTTTGTTTTTTTAAAGAAAGAGTTACGCCATTGCTAGCAAAACAAAAAAAGAAAAGAAAAAGGACCGGTCCTGCCCTGGCCGGTTTGTCACTGTGGTTAGTCTGTGAGCCTGAGGGCTAAAGGGTCACGGGATTCAATTCCTGGTCAAGGGCATGTGCGCAGGAGGCAAGCAGCTGATCTCTCTCTCTCTCCTTTGCTTAGTTCATACCTAGAGATTTTATTCTTTTGGTTGCAATTGCAAATGATTTTTCTTTCATTTTGTTTTGTTTTTTGAAATGTTATTGTAAGTATATAGGAACATAATAGATTTTTATACATTGCTTTGGTGTCCTGCAAATTTACTGTATTTATTTCTAGTAATTTTTTGGTGAAGTTTTTACGGTTCTCTATATGAAACATCATGTCATCTTCAAAAAGTGATCATTTTACTTCTTCATTCTCAATCTGGATGCTTTTCATTTCGTTCTCTTCCCTAATGTCTCTGGCCATGACTTCCAATACTATGTTGAATAACAGTGGTGAGAGTGGGCATCCTTTCTTGTTCCTAACCTTAGAGGAAAAGCTTTCAGCTACTCAATATTCAGTACACAAGTTGCGGGTTTGCCATAGATAGCCCCTATTATGTTGAGGTAAGTTTATTTTTTCTTGGAGGTACTTGTATTCTATACCCATTCTATTAAGTGTTTTAATTATAAATGGATGTTGCATCTTTTTCAAATGCTTTTGTTGCACCTATTGATAAGATCATATGATTTTTATTTTTACTCTGTTAAGGTGGTATATTACAATGACAGATTTGCATATGTGTTTTTTTCCTGTGAAGGTGAATTCGTTTTAAAAATTATTATTTGTATTGTTGAAAGTATTACAGATGTCCCCTTTTTTCTCCTATAGACCTCTCCACCCTACCCCCACCTTCTCCTCAGGCTTCTGCGGCTCCCGGCAGGCTTCCACCACACTATTGTCTGTCCATGGGTTATGCATATATGTGTATAAGTTCTTTGGTTAAACTCTTCCCAGTTGCCCCCTTCCTTCTGAAATTAGTCTACTGCATACTTTCATGTCTCTGGATCTGTTTTGTTCATCACTTTATTTTATTCATTAGATTCCACACATGAGTGAGATCATGTGATACTTGTCTTTCTCTAACAGGCTTACTTAGCTTAGCACAATACTCTCCAGGTCCCTTCATGTTGTCTCAAAGGATAATAGATCCTCCTTTTTTACAGCTGCGTGGTATTACACTTTGTGAATGTACCACATCTTTTTTATCCACTCATCTACTGATGGGCACTTGGGCTGTTTCCAGATCTTACCTATTGTAAATAGCACTGCTCTGAACATGGAGGTGCATATATTCTTTGTGATTGGTGTTTCTGGTTTCTTAGGATATATTCCTAAACGTGGGATCTCTGGGTCAAATGGCAGTTCCATTTTTAATTTTTTGAGGAAACTCTACACTGTTTTCCATAGTGGTTGTACCAGTCTACATTCCCATCGGCAGTGTACTAGGGTTCACTTTTCTCCACATCCTCGCCAGCACTTGTTTTTTTTGTTGTTGTTGTTGTTGGTACTAGCCATTCTGGCAGGTTTGAGTTGATAGTTCATTGTCATTTTAATTTGCATCTCTCTGATGATCAGTGACTTTGAGTCTTTTTTCACTTGTCTCTTGGACATCTTTATGTCCTCTTTGGAGAAGTGTCTATGCAGGTCATTTGCCCATTCTTTAATTGGATTGTTACTTTCCTGGTGGTGAGTTGTTTAAGTTCTTTATATGGTTTGGAATTAACCCCTTATCAGATATTCATTGGCAAATATGTTCTCCCATGCAGTGGAATCCCTTTTCATTTTGTTGATGGTTTCTTTTGCTGTGCAGAAGCTTTTTATTTTGACGTAGTCCCATTTGTTTGATTTTTCCTTTGTTTCCCTTGCCCAAGGAGATGTATCTGCAAGTACTAGTATATTGCTATGAGAGATTTCTGAGATTTTGCCACCTATGTTTTTTTCTAGGATTTTTCACGACTTACATTTAAGTTTTTTTGGTTTTTTTAAAAATCCATTTTGAGCTTATTCTCCTGTATGGTGTAAGTTGGTGGTTTCATTTTATTTTATTTTATTTTTTTGCATATACTTGTTTAATTTTCCCAACACCATTTATTGAAGAGATTGTCTTTATTCCATTGTTCTTGCCTCCTTTGTCAAATATTAATTGAGTGTAATGGCTTGGGTCAATTTCTGAGTTCTCTGTTTTGTTCCATTTACACATATGCCTGTTCTTATGCCGGGCTGTTTTGATTAGAATGGTTTTGTAGTGTATAAGTTTGATATCTGGTATTGTACTCCTTCCTACTTTATTATTCTTTCTCAAGATTGCTGCGGCTTCAGGGTCTCTTTGGGTTTCATATACATTTTTGAAGTATTTGTTCTAGATCTGTGAAATATGCTGTTGATACTTTAATGGGAGTTGCTGAATTTATAGATTGAATTTATAGATTGCTTTGGATAGTATGGCCATTTTAATAATGTTAATTCTTCTAATTATGAACACAGTATACTCTTCCATTTGTTTATACCTTCCTCTATTTCTTTTTTCAGTGCCTTACAGTTTTCTGAGTACAGGTTGTTTATCTCTTGGGTTAAGTTTTTTCCAAGTTATCTTTTTTTGTTGTTGTTGGGCTGTCAAATAGGTTTGTTTTTAGTTTCACCTTCTGAGAGTTCATTATTGGTGTATAAAAATATCAATTTCTAGATGTTAATTTTGTATCCTGCTACATTGTAGAATTCATTTATTAAACTTAGTAGTGTTTTGGTGGAGTCTTAAGGGTTTTCTATGTACAATATGTCATCTACAAATAATGACAGTTTTACATCCTCTTTTCCAATTTGGGTGCCTTTTATTTTTTCTTCTTGACTGATCACTGTGGCTAAGACTTCCAGTACTGTACTCTATAATAAAAGCCTAATATGCTAAGTGTCCGGTCATCTGGTTGTCCAGTAGACTGGTCAACCAATCAAAGCATAATATGCTAATGATATGGTAAGGCTGCTCAACCACTCGCTATGATGTGCACGGACCACCAGGGACCAGACTGTTGACTGGTAGGTTAGCTTGCTGCATGGGTTGGGCTGATCAGGACTGAGCGAGACGGGCTGGACACCCCCTGGAGCCCTCCTGCAGCCCTTCCCCAGCTGGCCAACCTCCCGCATCCCTCCCTGTTGGCCCTGATTGCCCCGATTGGGACTGGGTGAGATGAGGCCAGACATGCCCTGGAGCCCTTCCATGGTTCCTTCCTGGCCCCGATCATGCACCAATGGTATTCCTTGGCCTTGCCTGCACCCTCTCTCAATCTGGGACCCCTCGGGGGATGTTGGAGAGCAGGTTTCAGCCCAATCCCAGCAGACCAGGCTGAGGGACCCCACTGGTGCACGAATTCGTGCACCGGGCCTCTAGTGTTGAAAAGATTGGTGAAAGCAGACATCCCTATGTTGTTCCTAGTCTTATGAGGAATGTTTTTAATTTTTTCCCAGTGAGTATGATGTTGGCTATGGGTTTGTCATGTATGGGCTTTATTATGTTGAGGTGTGAGCCCTCTATTTACTCTTTACTAAGAGTTGATCAGCACACACACAGGGTGGCATTTGTGTTTGCCATGGATCAGATGTGTGCCAGGCAGGAGATACAGTCCTTTTAGATCCAGCCCAATAACTCTATATGGGAGATCAGAGGAATCCCCTCAGCAAGAAGCTAAAGGTGGCAGTTAGGTTTGTAGAGATTGAGGGAGAAATCACAGTGAATGTGCCTAAGGCAGGAGAATTGCTGGAGAGAGATCCTCTGTGATGGTCATCTCCTAAGAGTGTGAAAATTTTAGAGCAAAATTAATAGAAACTGTTCGATTAGACCTCATTTACTATCCCTTGCCAGTCAGAACGCTTTCAGGATCTCCCTCCTTCACAGAATCAATAAATTGCTTATAAATTCATTTTGCTTTACTGTAGAAAGTTTTTAATTGACAGACATTTTTTTCCCTGCATTTTGTTCCATCCAAATGCCAAGACCTATTTGATTTTTAAGACTCAGAGATGATGACTCCTATCTCTGGGTCCTTACCAAATGCAGAATCACATGATCCGGTGGTTAAAGATGGAAAACTTCTATTTAAATTACTCAGTTTTATATTTCTCTGTCATCCTCAATTTAAAAAAGGTTCCTGTAGCCTTAGCCCCACCATGATAACTTCATTTTAGAGCAGATCAAGCTCCAGCTCCTTTCCACAAGGACATCTGAATGCGATGTTAAGGCTTTATCACTGTGCGTTAGAATTAGTCTGTGGCTCCATCGAACTTCAGGACAGGTTGAAAAATATAGGCGACCACATAGAATGGTTAGCAGGTATTATTCTCTCTGCCACCCAAGAGCAAAATAAAGTTCACCATTCTACAAATAGTTATTGAACCATACTATGAGCACTGGTGCAGGACATTAGGGAAATGTGTTAAATAAACATTTCTAGATGTCAGTGCGTTGACAGTGTTGTAGTTTAGGAATCATCTCTAATGGAATAAGGAGATTGCAGTATCCAGCATGCATTGCCCTGTCTAGGAACCTCTCTGTGGCGTTACCTGAAGAAGGGGCACTGCACAATATCCTGTAGGTAGGAGTGACCAGCTCAAAAAAAAAAAAAAAAAAAAAAGATGAGTAAATGTGACATTGTCTATAGACACAGAGAAGTTTGAGGACATCAGAAACATATCTACATATTCTAAAATTTTGAATATGGGGGGCACACAGCTGAAAATGGATTACCAGGTTCTCTTATACAGGAA